CTCAAACTTATAGAAGACACCAAAGCCATGTGGAGTAGCAACTATAATATAAATTGGATTAAAGCACACTCAGGCATTGAAGGGAATGAAGAGGCCGACTGGGTTGCTAAGGAAGCCACTAAGCTTGGCCAGATTGATTTTGAGATCCCGGGTGAAAAATGTGAAATTAAATCTTACATTAAGAACATCACTTTTAACCGCTGGAGAGATGACTGGAGGTCTAGTGACAAGGGAAGACAAACCTATAAATTTTTTAAAGACCCTAGCTTAAAGCGCCTGCAGGCCAATTTTTACTTAAACCAGCTCCTTACTGGCCACGGAGTGTTCGGGACCTATCAACAAAAATTTTTCAGAAAATCAGCTTCATGTAATTACGGTGAAGTGAGACAGGACATTAAACACCTAATTAAGCACTGTCCTAGATTCTGGGCACTTCGTGGAACCCACATGAATAACTGCGAAGAGGAAGACCAATTCTTTGCCATATTGACCTGCAGGAAAATTGTGACTTAAATTATTAAACATATCCTTGAGGACATTTTAGCCCCAGATCAACTGACCCCAGTCATGAAACAACAATAGAGCATGTCATCGTTAATTTTTTAACTAATCAACTTTTAGCCTTACATTTTGAAATTTTATCTACTTTTGATTTTAGACTTCGTCTACTTCTAGTCAGACTTTTACTTTTAGACATTTACTATTAGGACTTATGGCTTTCATTAATTTTGGTTTTGAGATTTTTTGTCTCTTGTTTCCTTATTTAATTCTCGACATTTATACAGGCGCTATTGGATTTCATTGCCTTTAAAACACGTTTTTAATTGTCAAGTATTATAGTTAATCCACTTTTAACTGATCACCACCACTGTCATTTGGCAAAATTTTACTGTAATCTTAGTTTTTAGAGGAATTTTATTTTTATCTCCGTATACCCCGCTGGGGTGGGTCGGAGTTCAACCTATCTATTTCTGTTATATATTTAGTCGATTTATTCTAGATCTATTATATTATTTTACCAACATTTTCGAATCAAGAATTTTTTGTTTTAAGCATTTTTTTAAATAGATTTCGTTTTCTATGGATTCTAGTTATATATGTTTTTAAAGAATATACAATTCAATTTTACTGATTTTCGAAAGCTATGTTTTTGAAAATCAGTCTAAAATTTCAATTAAAGATTGTATGTCAATTAAGTAATTAAATTTGTCATTAACTCAGTTAAGTAACTAATTTTGCTTACTATAGATAAGAGAAATTCTAGGATGCAAAAATAATTATTTAAGATCAATATTGTATTATTATAAAATTCAGATGAATGATTGGATGACCATTTAATTTACCAATTGGATGACCGTAGCAATGATGGCAAAATAAGAACTAACAAAAGTTTTATTAAGTGTAATATAGCTTAAATTTTATAGATAAAATCATGATATTTAATTTAAATTGTTTATAAAATTAAAAATTTATATTTTTCCAGAAATGTTTCATGAAATTATTAAGAGCAACTTTTTTAATTGGTATTCAATCAAACGAAAAGCATATTTTCTTCATTTCTAAATCACAACGCTTACAATGTAAAGAAGTATTCTTTATCATTTGTTAAACGTTCTAAATATGTTGGAATAAAACTTGTAATACCTGGAAATCCTTTTCCATCGTGAGGAGTGCCGATATTCAATTCTTCTTGATCCGATACCAAGTCTTTGCTGTCATAGATTTCTTTCTTTTTGTTTTTGGCAATTAAAGCTCCATCGTATGTTTGCTTACCCGTGTCTCCGTACCTTGGAGGGAATACTTGATTTGGCGATTTTTCCTCTGAAGTCGTGTCATATTTGATTGATTTTATCCAGTGTTTGCTTT